AAAGAGCAGCAACAGCAATTTGCCACCCCACAAATCCACTGAGCCCTGGCAGGCAGAGCTGTGGCCCAGCCAAGCTGCTCCCCAGGCTGCCAGGGTGCTGTGGGAGCAGGGCACCCACCCCCGTGGCGCAGCTCGGCGTCGATGTCCGCGAGCTCCAGGTTGAACATGACCAGGACCCCGGCCAGGGCAAAGTCCCGCTGCTCCTTCCAGAACCTGCTCTTGTGGTGGGCGTTGCAGTGGCACAGGGAGGGGGTTGTCCAGTTCTGGCACTGTTGTAGAAAACAGGAAAGACAGGGAAAGGGTTTTTTTTTAGTGTAATTTTTCCCCCTTCCAGCTGAGCAACTCAACAAACCCCAGTTTCCCTGAGCGAAGGGCTACAAATCATTTCACCCTTTACACACCTGAGCAAAGGCACAGGGGAGTACTCAATGTGACAGTAACTCAGTATCATGGCAAACAAGAACAAAAACCACCCCATATTATTTACTGTCACTCCTGAACACTTCACAGAGGCCCTCAGGGCTGGCACCCTCCCCTCTGGAAGTTGGGAACAGAGCCTTGTCTTTGCATGTTCACCCCAACTTTGTTCACAGCTCAGTTTTCTGAGTTCTAACAAATTCTAAGAAACCCCCAAACCGATGGCAAAAAGGCACAAAAAAAGAGTTAACAAATGTTTCAGCTGGTATACCTTGTCCTGTTTGCTCTACCTGTTTTGTTAGAAGAACATTTTAGGAGCACTGGTTAATATTATGTTCTGTTCTGCTCACTGGACCAAAGGCCTTATTATAGAAAGGAGTAGTAGTACACAAGGTAATAAATTAGGTAAACTGGACATTTGAATGAGATATAGAAGGCCCAGAGCCAGGATTCTGCAAGCTTGAAGAATTCAGGTCACCCAACAAAGAACCCCCAACTCCCCCACTCCAAGTTAGGACAGTTTAAAGTCTGACATTTCTCTACTTCACTGAGAAAGTTTGATTCAGTAATTTGATTTTATGAAATGCACTGTTTGCCCAAAGCAAACAGGAGGTAAGTTTGCTTCTACCTATTAAATGTTTACTCCAACAACTGCCTGGACTGTTAGAAAGAAACCCTGACAGAACCACACTTTTAGCAGTTATGAAGCAGACAGGGATCAACCCTGAGGAGAGGAACTGTTAAAACAATCAAGTTTCATGTATCACTTATTGGTTTTGTGCCCTTCAACTCTTCCCTGTGAGGGTGGGGAGGCCCTGGCACAGGTTGCCCAGAGAAGCTGGGGCTGCCCCATCCCTGGAAGTGTCCCAGGCCAGGTTGGACAGGCTTGGAGCAACCTGGGCTAGTGGAAGGTGTCCCTGCCCATAGTAGGGGGTGGCACTGGATGGGCTTTAAGGTCCCTCCCAAACCAAACCATTCCAGAATTCTTCTTACTGATGATTAATCTATTTACTCCCAGTTGTCCTCTCACCTCAGAAGCCAGTTTGTCACAGATGTAGCAGTAGCACTGGTCACAAATCTCAGCGTTTTTGCCCAGGGGTGAGCAAGTGTCACATTCTGTTCTCCTACAAGGGAAGGTTGTTCAGGACACAAGTTACATCCTTATCCAGCTCCACTTCTGCTTCCAGCTCTTACAAAGCTCATGAGGTTTCATGACCAAATGGACTAAATGTGGACAATGAACCCCCAAATCACCCAGCCCAGCCCTGACCATACTCGAAGGGGTGTGTGGTGCAGTCGTATCTCGCGTGAGGCATCACATTGGCTTGTTTACAGAAAGTCACCATTAATTCACATTCCTCATCCACAACCTCAGGTTTCTCCTCTCCCAGGGTAGATTTCTCTGTAGAGAAGAGCACAGGAGGTGTAAATCAGTGTAAATCAGGGAACTACAAACTTCCTTGCAAATTACTGACGTTTTGTTTTTAAACACTTCCAGGCCCAAATTTTCTTGTGATTTCATTTGGTGCCACGAAGAATGGTACAAAAAACTTCCATCAACTCCAGAACAGAGAATGTGGAGTCAAAAAGGAGCCAACTGACATTGAAAAGGCCCAGTTTTAGCTCAGTTGGTATTATTTTGAAACTACACAGCACCATCTTTTACGTTAAGAAGTGCCATCAAAGAAATCCCTAAAAATTACTAAATCATGGCATTTCTTCCTGGTTTAATTAACTTTTGAAGCACTTTGATTTTCTAGCAGCATAAAGACAGATTTCAGGCACATCAGACAATAATTTAATTCAGTTTATTCCAAAAGTCTTTTAGGGAACTTCATCAAAAGCAGCTCTTACCCTGGGGGTCTACAAACAGGACAGAATTCCCAAGAGTGTCCTCGGCCTCATCATCACTGATCAGGATTATGCTCTGCACTTCCTCCTCTCCTGATGGTCCCATGGTTCCTGAAATCCAAAGGGAAGGAGCTACTTGGCAACAGACAAAACACAGAGACAGGTCCCACTTTCAAGGTCCTTTCCTCAACAAGGCAAGAAAAAGACCCCTCAAGAACCCAAATTCTTCATCTCTGTTGGGTAAGTTACACCAGGGACTGAAGTGTTTGATCCTCAGCAGCTCAAAAAACACTGGAAATCCATCCAGTGCTGAGAGAACCCTAAAACCAAGGAGATGGGGGTAAAAGAAAGAAAACAGACCCCAAATGTGAGCGGTGCTGTTCTTCAGGGGGGTTTAGAGGGACCGGCTTTGGAAGAACTGTAACACCAAGGGGGAATGGCCTCCCAATGCCAGAGGGCAGGGTTAGATGGGATATTGGGAAGGAATTCTTGGCTGAGAGGGAGGGGAGGCTCTGGCACAGGTTGCCCAGAGAAGCTGTGGCTGCCCCATCCCTGGAAGTGTCCAAGGCCAGGCTGGATGGGGCT